AATAGTTTGTCCACTTCATCATTTACTGCCTTTGCTCGCTCTACTCCGAGTTTTCTTCTTTTTTGTTTTACATGCTTGAAACTTGGATCCACGTTCAGTTTGTGGCAAATTATGTCTGGATCTATACCGGGCATATCCGCCGCTGACCATGCAAATGATGTTTTGTTTTTCCTTAGAAGTTCGATCAAAGCTTCTTTTATTTCGCCAGTCAAAGTAGCTCCAATTCGGACTTTCCGATCTGGTTTGTCTTCTTCTAATACTACATCATCCTCTTTCTGCCCACTAGGAAATCTTGGAATTATTCCCTTCTTCGCAGGTTTCGTTAATTGCTATTGGATCTTCAGTCGATGACTGGTCAGATAACACGTTCGTGAAGCTTCTTGACTTCCTCGAATTGTTTCCACTCCACTAGGAGTTGGAAATTTGATGCATTGATGATATGTCGAGGGGACTGCCTTCATTTGATAAATCCATGGAGTCCCAAGGATGATGTTGTAGGCTGCCGGTTTATCAAAAACAACAAAATCTACTATTTTTGACACATTTTTGGCAAGAACTGGCAGCTTGATCGTCCCGAGAGACATGGCCGACTCGCTTGTGAATGCCACTAAAGGAGACGGAGGTCCCACTATGTCTGCCCGACTGATTCCCATCCTTTCCAAAGTACCTAAAAAGATTAAATCGACCGAACTGCCCGTATCAATGAGAATTCTCGATACTTCGAAGTTGGCAACGTCTAGGGTAATGACTAGTGCGTCATCATGAGGCCTTTCGAGGTGACGTGTTTCTTCTTCGTCAAATGATATTGACGCGCCTTGGAAGTCAATTTCTTCGCCCAAATTCGCTTTAAGTAAAACATTTCGCCTATGCTTCTTTATGGCACTGATCGTATCTCGGCAAAGTTTGGAACCTCCAAGGATCACATTGATTTTTCCCTTCGAACTTCTAGGTTCTTCTTCGTTGGATTGCCTAGGTCTTTTTAAATTCTGATCTTTGGGGTTATCCTTCGCTTCGTGATATTCCTTCACGAAATCTTCTATCTTGAATTTAGAAAGATCTCCACTGGCCCACAGCTCTGCGAGGTGTTTTTTGAGGACACTACAGTCTTTGGTTAAGTGTCCGGTTACCTTATGAATGTCACAATACAAACTTTCGTCACGGATCCAAGTGTTCGACCTTCCTTTTCCTTGAAATTGTTTCCCGACGGTATTGTTGAGGGGTTGCGATCCGAACTTTTTTGGTCCTTGGTTCTTCCTAGGCTCGAACTTTTTGGTAGGGAAGGTGACCGCTGGTTTTACTTGTTTGTTCCTTTTCGCAAAACTCTCTTTTTCGTCTTCTACTTCCATCCAGTTATTTGCACGGAAAAGTGCGTCTTGAATCGTGTCTGGTTTGTGAAGTATTAGATCCTCTTTGAACCTCGAGTCATGCCACAAACCTTTTCGTAGGGCAGATAAAGCTGACTGCTGCGAGATTCTTGGGAGTTTTGACAGCACCCAATTGAATTTGGTGATGAAAGTTCTAAGTGACTCATTTGGCTCTTGTGTTAGATTCCAAAGGTCAGCATCCGAAACGCTTTTATCCATGAGGATAGAATATTGTTTCAGGAACACAGCCGACAACTCGTCGAAGTTATTGATTGAGCCTGGTTCCAGCTGGGTGAACCACATTAGTGCTTGACCGCAAAGATTTTCCGAGAAGAGTTTGCAGTATCCTGCATCTTCGTCAGCTTCATCCAATTCGACTCTTCCAGCGGCAATCAGAAAAGCTGCGAGATAGCTCTTTGGGTCTTCTAATCCACTGTAAGGGTCCAGTTTGAGTTTCCGAGAATCCTTGATTCTCAAATTTGCAATTCGCGGGATGAAAGGAGTTCGCCTAGCTTCCTTGATGACTCGGTTGATGTCCGGCTCCGAACTAGTGGCCTGGTGGAACTTTGACTTCATTTTTCTTAGTTTTTGGCTAACCTTTCTCATGGTTTCGAGCTGGTCGAAGCTTTCTTGATCATACTGATCTACAAGCTGGTCTTCATCTCCGAGCTACGTCTCTTCTTCCACCGGTTGAATTGCTGGGTTAGGAGTTGTTTGTTCGTTGGTTTCATTTCGCACACGGGAGTTTGGCGTATTGAACATACTTCTTCGGACTCCCACAGTATTTCCTGCACCTAGAGAACGAACGCGAGATTGAATAGTATTGACGCTTTGACCAAGAGATACCTGGGTTGTTTTAAGTGTGTCCACAGCTTTTTCCACATCCGAGAACTTCTGCGACATTTCTGACATGGTTTGCTGCATGGCTTTGAGAGTTTCAGCTACTGACGAGTCAGGGATGCTTGCTTCAGACATTGCTGCTTATCTCGGAAATGTAGTGAGAGAAATCTGACAACTCAAGAATCTTCTAGTTCCCCACAGGCGGCGCCAAAATGTGGACGTCGGATTCACACACTCGAATATTTGTTTATTTAGTGGGAAAGGTTATTCTTGAGGACAAAAATACGATATGAAAAAGCTATGAATTGCAATGGAAATGATTATAGTATATTTGCTAGAAAAATTGCGTGTCCTTTACATGGCTCCTAGTCCTATTATTTATACTCACAAACGACATTTAACTCTCAATTAAATACAATTATTCTCTCTTAAATGTGTCCGTTTTGGTCTTCGAGTTTAATGCTCAACGTTTGAATTTGAATTGATTCCGATCTTCATGGGCTTCACCCTTTAGCCCAAAAGCCCCGAACTGAAATGATCTTTAACTTCGACTGCGTATCCTTCTCGAGGTGAGACCACTCCGATCCCTCTTCGTGGTATTACCACCTCGACTAAACTTTTGGGCTTATACGTCTATCGGGCCTTGTCCTCTATGGGCTTCTGTCGTGCCTATGTGGCAATCTTTGGTTGGTCCCGAACCACCCGTGCGGGATCCGACACCAACAATGATCGATTCTTTTTATTATTTATTTCAATAAAAAAAATATTTAGATATCTTATTTCCATTATTTTCTATTTCATTTGTCTATATATTATATGATAGAAAACCGCTATGTCATTCAGAGATGCAACTATATCCCTTTATTGCATCGTCATGATCTTCTCGTAATACTTTATTATCCACAATAAATTCTATAGCATCCTTAATCTGAAATTCATGGCAATGGTGGTCGTCTCGTTAGTCACCACAATCTACAACTTGTAGTCGCATACTCTAAGAGACACAAAAATGTCAAAAACATTAAAACACTTATCTATTTAAGTAAAGAAAAAAGAAGATTAAAAAATTAGACAGTTATATTACCGTGGTCTGTTTGGTTTCGAACATCATTTGCTCTAGCTGCCCAATTCAAAGTCCCCCTATCTTCTGGTTTGATATTTCATTTTCCTTGGTTTCTTTAACATCCCACTACATGAATATTTCACTTTTTTTTAGCTACCATTCGTTTCATCCTGCCAAATGGCGTCTTGGTCTTTATAGCTTCTTGGATATTGTCAAGCACAACAGTCTTGGTCTTTACAGATACTGGTACTCTGCGCTTGCGCCCAACCCTAGGAAGGTTATGTGATGTAAAGAAAGAAAAAACTAAATCAAATGGTAAAATAATATCATAAGTCAGCATATTCTTCTATTCACCTTAAGAACAAACATAATGTAACCATTGAACCTAGGAACATTCAACTACCAGAAGTAAAGAGAGATGCTTAAACACTTTAAAATTTCACAGCTCTAACCAAAATAATAAATTTCAAGGAACAAGTAATAATAGAATGTATATACATTCTCGAGTTTATCCTTTAAAGAGAGATGCTTAAACCATTTGCAAATGTTGTTTTCTTTTTGGCACTACAAGTAATTTTGGTGAATATGTACATGTATGTGAATTATATAAAGAAGTTAATATAATTTTGCAGATGAAACAAATGTACATGTATACAATAAAAAATAGCATAAGTAAGAAAAAAAAAGAATGACTAAATGTTTACAATATAGGAAATTATACCTAGATTTACGAACAATTTTGTATGTAACATCGTAAATAAACAATGAAACAGAATGACATAATATTCGAATTATAGTAAGAAATTTAAATTGATTTACTACATATTTATTCATTTATAAATTATGTTTAGTAACATGTCAAAATATTTTCAAAAAGCTACATACCAAAATTACTGAGTAATTAAACAAACAAGAATGATTAACTCAATCAAAATTTTCTACAAAATGATTTAAATTCATAAGTTTTTTTAATATACTAAGTATGAACGTGTTGTAAACATGGCGTAGAAAATATAATAATACAATTATGTTCTCACCACCATCATTACTCACCACCATCACCCCAACCCAGAATTACTGCTGGAACTTTGTCGCCGGAACCACCACCGCCGGAATTTTGTCGTCGGAACCACCACTATCAGAACTTCGTCGCGGGAACCACCACCGCCAGAACCACCACTGCCGGAACTCCGTCGCCGGAACCACTACCACCAGAACCACCACCGCCGCCGGGACTTCCGCCGCCGGAATCTCTACCGGAATCGCGCCGGAACCACCATCGCCGGAATTGACACCACCACCATTGATTATTTTCCATACCCTTGATGTTATTTACTTAATTGATACATATAATGAATGTGCTATATTCTCAATATTTAAGTAGAAAATAGTTATTCTTGCAAAGGACCCTTATTTTAACATCAAAAGAATATGATGCACTGGGTCTTATATTATTCGCTTGAAATTTGCAAACAGTTCAGAGATTCTCAGAACGCTATCAGCCACTTATATGGGCCTATATTGGGCCTCAACTGCCCATATCTTTTTATAAAGATTTTAAAGGTTCATAATTAGAGTACAATATCACATGTTCTTCAACTCAAAAACACTTAATAAAGGAACAATATGGGACAAAAAAATTGTTTGTACATCAAAAGAAAATGTCTGATTGGGACTTTTTCGCTTGAAACTTGCAACAGTTCAGCGTGATTTTCTCAGATATTCCACATACACCAAACCAAGAACTCTTATTAGTAAAAATATTTGGAAGAGACGAGAATAACCATAAACTACAACATGTCTTATAAAATATTACAAGCTTCATAATTGGAGTAGAGTAGGGCTCCAGCTTAATAGGATGCCTAACGCCTAGTCAATGCCTTACAGAAGAGTTTTTGCATACCGATTATCAAACATGAGTTTAAGGAGCCCCTTGTTCATGTCCATAGTTCTTTTTACTATAGCAACGCGATCACGGGGTGGCTTGTGACCATTATTACCCTTAGGAGCCCGTCCCTTATTAGGGTAGTACCTGTACCGTATGTAGAAAACTGCATTTCTGGCCTTGAGTCTCTCATTTGGTGGCTTCACATTTTCCTCAGTTTCTACCGCTACCTTCATAATAACCAAATTTGATAGATTGGGCTGCAACAAGAGTTAAAAACAAAACAGTGTTATTATTACCAACAGAGAGCCACTAATGGATGAAAAGGAAGGAAAAAAAGAAAGAAAGTTCCTACATTTGGAAGATCCTCATTTGCATGGATGAATGCAAGTTCCATGTATAGACGGATCCAGTTACGTTTTCGCAGCTCCGATTTTTTCATCTGTAAAAGCAAACAAATTACAATTGAACTGACAAAAAACAAAAAACAAAAACAATTGAGCTGTCATGAGCAAAAGGAAAACTGCCAATCTTACCACGTAATATCGTTTTTTATCATTGAAAGAATCCTCTGAGGGCCACTCATCAGGCAATCTCACTTGGGCGCAATCGTAAAGCCATCCATGATGCTCGGGGTTTGCTAAAAAATTAAAATAAGTCACACTCTACATTAAGCACATATGGGATTATATATTACGGGAAACTAAAGGGTCTAAATGGTGCAAGAATGAGAGAAACCAGTAGAATTATACTAAGCAATGCAACCTATACTGTGTTACACTTTACCTCGTGGTGGTTCGAACTTAAGTCTTGCAATAGACACCGTCAGGGTATTGATTTTATAATGGCCTTCGTCAACAACCTTGGTCTGAAAAGTTACAAGGGAACCGCCAGCAGATGGATCCTTAGCAACCAAAGTTATAGAGTAACCGGTATATACTGTGGTACTTCGTGTATTGCATTTCTCTATGCAACTGAGCTTCAAATTCGTCCCCTGAAGATAAATGTATCAACAAGGATCATTTGATTGCAAGAAGAAAACAAATTTACAAATATATATTTACAAAATCAGGATGTGAGAGTAGTTTTTTCACCTGTAACATATTGTATTTATGGATCCCCAACTTTGCATAAAGGAAGACTTCACTGTCGAAATCAGAATTTTCATAGTGGAGCAAACACGATTTTGGTTTATTATCCATCAAATGCTCAACGTCGAACCCCTTAATTAATTACATAGAGAAAATTCAGTATAGGGTTTCGTCCTCTTAATCAAAACCGAGTTATAAACCTACTACAATTCCACCTTTATATTTTATATCAACCCTAAAAAGATAAGAAGATGAAAGAATTACCTCGGATTCCCCCACTCGATACCAAAACTCTCTGCACTTCTCATCGTCTCTCATCGTCACGAATTTTCTCAACTTTGCTCGGCTGAATTAAACGGCTGATTAGGTTTTTCTTTACGCTATACTAGATTTTACCCCGCGGTACACCGCGGGTCGATTTTTTTATAACTAAAAAATTATTTAGCAAAATTTTAAGTTATATTTGTTTTGTTAATATTGTTTCTTTTGTTTAGTGTTTCTGATTTTATAATTAAATTTTGATTTTTAATTCTAGGATTTCAACCATAGTATATTGTTTAATATTAATATCGATCCAAACCCGTTGCACCATATAACCCCGTCCCGTAAAATTAAACATCATTTGTTATTTTATTTTGAATAATATTTTTATCCACTACGGGTCGCAGGTTCATGCGGATAAGCCCGTAGAGAGTTGCGGGTTTGCGGGTCGACCCACCAAAAGAGAAGCTATCTTTTGAAACCCTTTGTTTTATTTAGAGGTTTTGAGAAAATATCCCTAAAAAATAATTTTCATTATATGAAAAAAAGAAGTAGAAGAAATTGTAGTATCAACATTCCCGATTTTTACATCACTCGTTACTATTAATTTTTTTTTTTTGCAGATAAAAATCAGAACTTAACTAAGTCGAGATTTTAAAAAGATTGTGTAGAGATTTTTGGTAAATTGTTGAGAACATATTTGATTTCAAAATCTTTAATTAAATAGATAAGGAAAGATTTTGTAGAGACTTTTGCTAAATATATGAGAAATGAATTTCATTTAAAAATCTTTACTTAAATAAAACAAATCTAAATAATTAATGCTAACGGCATGCCATTGTTAATCGATTTTTTTATAACTAAAAAATTATTTAGCAAAATTTTAAGTTATATTTGTTTTGTTAATATTGTTTATTTTGTTTAGTGTTTCTGATTTTATAATTAAACTAGATCATCACCCGTACTACAGTACGGGTTGAATTTCATTTATTACAAAATTTATAAATTTTATGTTTTAGAATAAAATTGTGATATATTATAATAGTAAGTGAAAAAATAATATTTTTTTGTCAGTCCCTATATATAATATTAGAATGAATATATTTTCCTTTTTCTATAGTATACAATTATGGATATTTTTTTTAAGATATGAAAACGGAAAATAAGATTATTTTTAAAAAAAATTAATATTGTTTGAACAATGAGTTAATTTATGTTAACAACCACAAAATGAGAGTGCATATAATTTAGTTAGATCAAAAATCAAAATATCATAAATAAATCGCATCTAAAACGTAGATTATTTTGAATTACTTAAGAAAATTAGCTATTATTTTGAATTAATTTAGAAAATTATTTTTTCAAATTCTGATTCATTGGTTGTTGAAATAGAGATTTGTCTAATTACGGAATTTACCAATTATTCACATAATCAAATATGTTATGAACATATATTTGGTATATAATAATACCAAATTCAATCCGTGTGTGGAGTCTATATTTTCATTTTACAATCCGTATGAAAATATTGCGGCACAATCTATTATTTATTATTTTCAAAATTGCTTGCAGAATCAAATTTTTAAATATTTAGAAGTGTCAAACCTTATTTAACTCATCTCATCATAAAATCTTAAAATATCGTCTGTTATAAGGATCATAACTTTCTACCATATAATACATTACATTTAACCCGCCGCCTACTATAAATATTTAAACATATCTTTTTAGAAAATCAAATTAATGTATTTATAATTTTTTTTATCTTTTTAATCTATTAAATATTTATGATATTCTTTAATATATTAAATTAAACTATTTTAAAATGTTCCAAATTAAAATCTTTAAAATTTTATTGTATTATGTAAAATTATGAATTTTTAAAAAATGATATGAAATTAAATATAAATATTCAAATAGTTATAAGGATCATAACTCATTTCATCATATAATATATTATATTCAACCCGCCGCCTATTATAAATATTTGTTTCAAAAAATCAAATTAGAGTATTTATACTTCATAAATTTTTGCTCAATTAAGTATTGATGATATTAAAAAAAAAAGAATATATTACTCAAATATGAATTTTTGACCCGTTAAATTTATTCTTTCATACATTGAATAATTTATATTCGTTTTTAAAAATTCAAATCTTGGTATATGCGGAAAAAAATTTACTTTTTTTTATTATATAGATGATATAATGATTTATTTATTTATAGAAATAGAATCATATAAAGATGAGAGGTGAAGTATAATGATTAATAACAAATTAATATGGTAAGTTAGATATCAAATCTTATATGTTCATTTTGATTGGTCATTCTTTTTAAAGAAATTAATAATAGATTTTCGTTTTTATAATTAAATTAAATTAATTAAATTGCATAAAATAATATTTGACTTGTTTATCCTTAATGAGTTGAATTAATTTACTCTATAAAATTTTATTTCTAATGGCATTCTTAAGTAAATTCTTACAAAAGGGAAGGTTAATTAAGGATAATCCATAAATTGTACTCCCCAAATAATAGTATAGGATTTTGATTTTTAATTCTAGAATTTCATCCATAGTATATTGTTTAATATTAATATTGATCCAAACCCGTTGCACCATATAACCCCGTCCCGTAAAATTAAACATCATTTGTTATTTTATTTTGAATAATATTTTTATCTACTACGGGTCGCAGGTTCATGCGGATAAGCCCGTAGAGAGTTGCGGGTTTGCGGCTCGACCCGCCAAAAGAGAAGCTATCTTTTGAAACCCTTTGTTTTATTTAGAGGTTTTGAGAAAATATCCCTAAAAAATAATTTTCATTATATGAAAAAAAAAAGTAGAAGAAATTGTAGTATCAACATTCTCGATTTTTACATCACTCGTTACTATTAATTTTTTTTTTTTTGCAGATAAAAATCAGAACTTAACTAAGTCGAGATTTTTAAAAAGATTGTGTAAAGATTTTTGGTAAATTGTTGAGAACATATTTGATTTCAAAATCTTTACTTAAATAGATAAGGAAAGATTTTGTAGAGACTTTTGCTAAATATATGAGAAATGAATTTCATTTAAAAATCTTTACTTAAATAAAACAAATCTAAATAATTAATGCTAATGGCATGCCATTGTAAATACTTCTCAACTTCAGGATTTATTTGCTAATTGTGATCCAAAAATGTATATATAGATGCCCTTAATACTCATTTATGGCCCTCCACAGCCCATATCTTTCGACGGGGGAATTTTTAAAATTGAAACTGGAAATCTGGTTGACATCACGATTTCAACACTCATTCACTTTATCAAAATATCTCAACTGTAAAGTTTCAAAGCTCCGTGACCGTTTCAAGTTTCTTGCGTCTGAAGCAAACTTACTACCTCCTGTTGGATTCTCCGGTAGCTTAAGCCCTAACATCGCATTGCTGCTAAACACCCTCCTTAACTTCTCCTTTGATCTATATTCGAGGGTTGTCTCGTTCCGCCAGTCAACGCTTGGATTTCGCACTGGTTCAATGCTCCGTAAAGCGGTTGCTGTATCGATTAACTCGTTTGTGGCATAATCTAGCGCAGGGCCGGCGTATGGGGTGATCTAGTGGAGCAAATGTACGGGCCAAAAATTTTTGGGGTATATTTAAGGGCCCAAAAATTTTTTTTTAGTAAAAAAAAAGTAATTTATAAGAGTTTAAGATATTTTTAGCATGAAAAAGGCCAAAATATTTTTTTTTAGTATGAAAAATGGCGAAATTTTAAAATTTGTACAGGGACTCCGAATTAATTGAGCCGGCCCTGATCTAGCGACAACAAGATCCTCGACCATGACATCGGCGATAATGGAGTTTGTTTGCTGTGCTAAGACAGGAGACGACAGCGCGCTGTGAGATCTTTGAACAACGTTGTTGTTGCAACTTGGTGATTCATCATAAACTGATTCTTAATGGGATTTTGATTTTTTTTTCAATGTTCTACGTATTATCGATTCTCATCTTGGAATAGAACTCCGTCTTCTGCTCTGAAAACGTTTCCAGCGTTTAGTGGAACCACTGATCTTAAAACCTATAGAATTTTACATCAACAAAAAGACTAAAAGATTTCATCAAAACAGAGGAGTAGTACTTAAAAACAGGAAAACTACTCTGTTTTTGAGGACATAATATAGAGAAAAATAAATAGATTTGTTCTTAAAAAGTGAATATTTAAGGAAAAAAGGTAAGGGTGATACAACTTTTAACTGAATATCTTATCGGTAGAAAGCCAATCGTCTCTCTAGGTCATCGGACGGCCGTCTAGAAGCATGCGGTACATACGGACTAGGAAGAGGAATCGGATGAACAGTCTGATGATGGAAATGAATTATGTTCCCACTCTTTCTCTGATGATGATGATGCAGAATCCTTGACCGTTCATCACTCATTTCAGATGCTCAGTAGAATTGACAAAAACTACAAAAGTTGCAAGGACATTACATGACTCGGTGGAATGTGTTTGCCACTCAAAAGATCTAAAAGAATAGTTCCATAAGACCATAACTGTATATCACACTTTCAGAAATGACTCTACCTGCAAAAAGAGAGAGAACTCTTTAGATTTATTGAAATCAGAAACAAACGAAAAGTTATTATTATAGATGTTCTTGAAGTAAGTTTCTTTACATATATGTTCATAAGCTTTCAGCCACCAGTTGCCTCTGCCTGAATCACGAGTCAAACATTGGTCAACACCAAACCAAGTTATTCCTTAATTTGTTTCAGACAAAAGAAAGTACCGAAGCATCTTTCTTTATCTTAATCAAATAATGATACTTTACCTTTACTAAGAAGCTATCTTCAACTATAAAGATAAAAGAGAGAATCTCATAAAACTATTGTCTATGAAATATAGTAAGAATCTTCGGATAAAGTGTCTTTTGCAACCTAAAGTTACCTACTTTTATCTTCATTTCAATAGCCACCAGACAGAGATTAGCAGATTCTCTGGTCAAGATAGACACTAACTAATATCTTATTCTTTAATGAAACTAACAAATCCATTTCAATCCTTTGACTGGCTCACTGATGAGCAATGAATCAATGGACATACTTGTTCAAATATTCTCGCAAACTGTTGAGCATCAGGCCAGGACTGTCTAGAGAATGGCTTGATGGCGACGAGACGATTACCTTCAAGCTTTCCTCTGTAAACAGCATTGGGAGCTTTCTCTCCACCTTCAGAACAATGCAACTGGGACTAAACCCATTTGTTACTTTCTTCAATTCACTTAGTTCAAACTCTTTGAAAACTGGAACTTGGTACTCTTGATCCACTTGGTCCTCATTTACTACAACACAAGAACAGTTTACATAACACAATCCTAGAGACACCAAAAACGCATAAACTAATGGAGATTAGTCTCAAATAGGTTAATTCTTTCCACTTGTTTTCCTGTTCTAAACCAATTTTACCATAAACCCATTCTGAGGGGGAGACACAATTTTACCACTTGTGAATTTTGATTTTTGGAGATGAAGAGGCAGTAGAAGAATATAAATTAAATTTTCCCACAAAATGAAAAAAGGAATAAATTTTTGAACAGATTTTACACCCAAAAAAGTAGTAATAACATTTTAGATATCGAGGAGCAAATTCTGAATCTGATTTCCGACGCCGGTGGAGCCGTTGCTCGCCGGCGTCGGGATTTCTCAAACCATCTTTTACTCTCTTTTCACAATCGTTTTATAGCTTTTTGTTACCTTCCCGACCACCACCGCCCTCTCACTTCGATTTCATTTCTGGTGGTCGGAGATCTTTTAAACACGCTTTCAAGAACTTCAAAGCTCCACCGGTCTTCTATTCCGGTGATATCTTTTTCCACCCTCCATCGGTCGACATGGTCGCCGGTGAGATCTATTTCCAAAACGTGGAAGCTCGGATTTCCGTTAAAGATGGCTACAACTCGAACCTCTCCACTTTCTCACCTTCCGGTGATGACATCTTTGAAGCTGATGCTAAATCTTCATGCGCTATCGACAAACCCAGGAGTTCTCTCCTTCCGCATCCATCTTTGCACCCGCCGTCGGAAAAGATCTCTTCCCCGACGAGCCCTTTGTTACGCGAAGCCTCCCACTCCGCCGCTCTCGAGATCTATCCCAGCAAGCCGGAGATCTTCCCAGCCGTTGATCGCCGCAATTCCGTCGAGCCGCCGCCTCATACACATCTCTACGGATGAGAAATTAGGGTTTACAGACTGGGCCCAGGTTTGGGCCTGTGGCAAGATGGGCCTGGTTATATTTCAGCCCAACCCTTTTAATTTTCTCTCCCACATCCACACATTTTTCAAGCCCTTTAACCTGAAACGTATCATGTCTTTCATCATCTTCATCTTTTCAAGCCTCCGTTCTAGCATTCCCACCAATGGATGCTGTCATCATGAGCTACTAGATGAAGTGGTGTTTTTGCAGCCAATCCTCCACTCTATTGTGATTAATCGTGGATCTTTCATGCCCAAGGTATATACTTTCATCGTAGTTTTTACAACTCTTTGGGCTGAAATGAATTTTATAGCAGTATTTCGATCAAGCCATTTAATCTACTGTCAATCATATCTACTGATTTGTGATGGCTCAAGATCAGTTTTCTTCTTTATGAAGAAACATTTTTTACAAACTTCCTCCTTTATGGAGAGATCACTTCCGCAACCCTCCTCCGCTTTGGAGAGATCACTTCCGCAAACCACCTCCATTTCGGAGAGAATGATTCCACCACCATCTTCCTTTTTGGAAGAATTTTCTGAAAGCTCTAATGCGTTAGTCGCACGAGCCGTTTATGACCACGAGTTGGTCTTGGATTTTTTGAAGTTTATCTTCGATTATGAATCCGTCAAGGTGACTAGAGATATTCCCGTCAATGCAATCTTCTCGGAGTTGAGCATCTCATTGGATAGATCTTCAAGCCTTTATCTTTACTTTTCTTGTAATGTTTCAATTTCGATTTGTATGGATTCTCCTCTTTTGAGGCTTTAATTTGAATGCAACAGTTTGAACAAAAAAAAAAAGGAATAAATTTTTGAAAGGACTTTAAATTTCAACCCAACCAAAAGCAGCAATTAGAAGAGTTGGAGACAATAATTCTAAATTTTTTTGCGAATATTGTTTTTTTTTTTTTGGCAAAACAAGTAATTTTGGATAGGAAATTTGATTAGATAATATGTGACTTATTTAATTGAATTTTGCAGATTGAAACAAATGTCCATGTATACATTAAAAATATCGTAAGTCAAAGAAAAAAAAAACTCGAATGACGGAATGTTTACAATATATTAAATTATAACTAATTTTACGAACGATTTTGTATGTAACCTTGTAAATAAAAATAAAATATATATGTAATATTCGAAATATAGTTTATATTCATTTATAAATAATGTTTCGTAACATGTTCAAATATTTTAAAAAAGCTACAGCAAAATTACTCAATTATTAAACAAACAAGAAATATTAACTCAACCAAAATTTTCTAAAAAATGATTTAAATTTAAAAAAGTTGAAAAGTTTTTTTAATCTACTAAAGTATGAACATGTTGTAAACATGGCGTAAGTTATTATTATTATACATAAATGCATTGTATTTGATTTGTTATAATGCAACACGATGACCAAAGGGTACATGAAGTTGGTTTTCAAGTATGATTTGTATCAAGTATGATTTGTATCATGTGTTATGATAAAAAGTGCTACTAAATATTAGACTCTAAATTTAGTATTTGTTGAGACAAGTTTAGTGAATTCCGGATTAAAAATGCAGATATGTCACAACCAGCAGTGGCAGATCTAGGAATAAATTTTATTGGGGTCAATTTTTTTAAAAACAAAATTATATAACTAATTTTATTATAATATTATACAAGCCCAAAAAAAGAAAATTATTTTCGTAAGCAATTACAAATGGTATATTAATTGTTGTAATTTTAAAAAGAAAAAAATATATATATATAAGACAACAAAAAACATGTATTTAAGGTTAAATGGAGAAAAAGAGTAAAATTAAAGTGTCGTGTCGGGGATTTAAACCCAGGGTTGGAGGTGTTAACACCTTGGGAACTACCAACTATGCTGCTGGTACTTAATAAAATTTGATGCAAAAAATGCAAGTTGACCCCTTTTCTCTTTAATGGATCCGCCCAAGACAACCGGTCGTTATAATAGCATCTTATACAACTTAATTGTACGAGCTACGCTCACTTCCGTACTTCTTTACCAATCTTGAATATGAGTGTAGGATATCATTGTAGTGAGTTTTCAATATAGCTTAAATCCTTTGCATCATCTTCAGTGATCAAATGCAAATCGTTATAGAGATCTGTCCCTAAATAATTAAATAGAGCACATTTGCCACAACCGGTTGCTTCAACAACATCCTATACAAGTCTTTTAAGTTGTTTGATTCGCGAATTTCTACTTCTTTCCCAATCTTGTATAGGTTTGGAGGATTTCGTTCTGGGAGTTCATTAATACAGTCGAATTCTTTTTCAACATCTCTAGCATCCTCCTCTCGAACTCCATTCTTTTCATAAACCTAAGAGCCTGAGCAGTAGAGAACTCGTGGCAGTGATGTTGATCTTTTCTTTCACCCTTAGCTGCTCCATAATCCATTGGATCGCATATCCTCATCAACATAATATGTGAGATAACTTGAGCTAAAAGGTCGGAAATCGTCATCTTCTTTAAGGATCAAACGCCTTGCACTGTAGATATCCGTCTCAGCCAAAGCATCGATCATATCCTGACAAGCCTCCCTGACTTTGGAATCGAAAATAATTCTAAGTTTTGCAAATGTTGTTTTCTTTTTGTCAAAACAAGCTAGTAATTTTGGATATGGAATTTGATTAGATAATATGTGAATTATATAAGAAGTTAATTGAATTTTGCAAATTGAAACAAATGTCCATGTATACATTAAAAAATATCGTAAGTCAGGACAAAAAAAAAAACAAAATCGAATGACCAAATGTTAACAATATAATAAAATATAACTAAATTTAGTTAGTTTTTTGTATGTAATATCATAAATACAAAATGAAATAGAATGCTGTAATATTTGAAAAATTGTAAGAAATTTATATTGATTTACGACATATATATTTATTTTTAAATTATGTTTAGTAACACCTTCAATATTTTCAAAAAGCTACAACAAAATTACTGAATTATTCATTTGTAAAGTTTATTCTTATGATTGGGTTACCAATGATGGAGTGATTTTTTAATTAATGTGTATTTGACAAAAATGAATTACTGAATTATTAAACAAAAGGGTACGTGAAGTTGATTTTCAAGTATGATTTGTATCATGTGTTGTGATACACTATAAACTTAGTATTTGTTGAGACAATCTTAGTGAATTCTGAATTAAAAAATGCATATTTATCACAACCGCTCGTTACAATAGCATTTGTACAAGATATGCTCACTTCCACTTGTTTACCAATCTTGAATATGAGTGTAAGATATCGTTGTAAAGAGTTTATAATATAGCTCAAATCTTTTGCATCATCTTCAATGATGAAATGCATATCGCTATAGAGATATGTCTTAACATAATCAATATATGGTTATTGTGATTGAAGGTGAAATTCTAAAAAAATTTGTGAGTTTATTAATAATCGATTATTTTTATTATGTATTCGAATAAAAAAATGTTTAGATTAATCTTTTTTCTTATGAAAATAGTGAACTCATGACAGTGGTGTTTCTTCCTACTGCCCGTCTCAGTTGATTCTACGCATCTCAGCATCTTGCTAGCAGAGAAGGTAAGATATCTCGCGCTAAAGGTGCGAATATTTTCATCCTCTTCACTGATATCACGACGAGCACTAAACAAATCTGTTCCAGCATAAGTCCAACAATTATGATAAAATCTGTGAGATCTCTGATTTCGAACACATCCTGATATCTTTTTCCAATTCTCTGCAAACACCTCCTGACTTGGTGTCTTCTCAGCAACCTCCCAAAGCATGTGTGTTGTATGATAGAAAATCTTGTCACACGGTTATGTGCCATTGATCTTCCTTTTCACTAGTAATAGTATTGTTGGAACAAAAAACTTAATAGTGCGGTATTTTAGAATATTTCTATAAAAGTTAAGTGGTGTTAATAATATTTTTATAAATAAATTTAATTTTATGAATCAGGATTGTTCAATCCGATTTTGATTTGGGTGATTAGGTTTTTCGGATTTTGGTTTATAAAGAAAGGTATCCAAACAAAAAATGAAATATAAATTAGAAGAGTTCATGTACCTGTCTGATTTTATCCGTAAGTACAAACATATAACTTTTGAAAATGTTATTGAATTTTCAACATCAAGTAAACATATATCTATAAAAATTTTGAAATATTGTACAGAAAAATGATTTATACAAATAATCTTCTTGGCATCTTTTCAAGTAACTTTTAAAGATTCACTGCCAACTCTTTTGATTTAGAGTTTACATATATTGTTCTCAGTGTACCATTATTTAAATGTCAAATGGTTTTCAGAGTTGGATCAACTAAATTTAAATATTGCACAATGTTTTTTTTTTAAGTTCATATTGCACACTTTTTTAAATGAAAAAATTATATTACAAAGTGAAATCAAATAAAATTAGAAAAATTTAATAAATTCAATGGCTCGTATACATAGACAAGTAAAAAAAAAACACCTTTGGTTAGATTTCACATAACAAGAAAGAAAAATATCAAAACCCCAAACAAATCCCATGTATAAAAAAAAAATCACAGAAATTAGTGGACAAATTATTAATCTTTTTGTGAGACACCTAGACTCAAAAGGAAGGTTCAGGATGAACAGCAGAAGCAGCGGCGTTATTAACGTGAAGAGCTCTTTGAAGTTTCCGGTGATCAAAAACTTCAACTCCAACGTTAAATGTCGAAGTCACCGGCCGGTGATCGGACATTTTTATCTCCGATCTCTTATAACACTCTTGTCTTATTCCTTTTCCCAACCATAATATTCTATCACACCTATTAATAACATCAAAAAATAAACTCTTTAAGAATCACCCAAATTTTTCGTAAATTTAAAAATGACCCCATAAATTTTCAAATGTTCAATTTAGTCACTTACCAAGCAGGAGCTCTCTTCTTCTCTCCTTCTCTCAAGGTTTCTCCGGCGTAAAGATCTGAATCGAATTCGTATTTATAGGTCGGAGGGAATTTAATCGGTCCTTCTCTCCATCCATCGAAAACATGCCCTCTTCTTAGTTCTCTAATCAACTGTTAAATTAAATTGAAAATTTGTGTTAATAATTTAACATAATAGTCTTATAGATGAAAATAAACTTAACAGAGTACTATCAAAACTAAACATAATCAAGAACCGAACCTGATCACTGTTCTTGAGCTCATCCCATCGTTTTTGTGCGACAAGCTTTCTTACTTCACTGTCTGCCATATTAAGTCGGTAGTTCAAATCTCCGAACCAAAATACTTGACTGTTGAACATTTCCGACATAAAAATTCAATTAGTACAAGAGAAAACGATTAATGCTTTGTGTTTTGTAATCTTGATTATTGCTTACTCGTGACATGGAATCGTTCTTGGTTGATCGGTGTCAAGAACCGAGGCGAAACGAGTCCGGCGTATGATTTCATAGACGTCAGCATTCCGGCGTTGCTCAGCACCGTCTTTGTGGCCGGAAGTTAAGTGTGAACACACAAAACACATACGTGATTGATACAACGTCATGCTAATCGACACTGATCCCTGCAAACATATCAAATATATAAGAAAGTGTTAGAATTTTTTAATATTGGGGTTACTTGGAGAGGAAGATTAGGTTAGGTTTTTTTACCTTGTTTCCCATGTAACCCATCAAGCCAACTCCGACCGGCGAGACTTTCAAGTTGTTGACATGTCTTCTTAACCGTCGTCGGATCCAAACCGATACATAGATCCCAACCATCTGCTTACTTACTATCCTTACATATTTTTGACTATCTTTCACTTTCCGACACTCCTCCACCAAATCTTCCGGTAATCCATAACTATTTCTGATCTTGTCGCCATCCTCCTCTTCCTCTGAAGACGAATCTCCGTCTGATGAATCATCATGCATGATTTTTGCAGCTTCTTCCGCTTCGGACGAGGAGGATGAACTATTATCAATCTCTTCTTTTATATCATTCCAACTCAAGTTTAAAGTTTCAAAGCTCCGTGACCGTTTTAAGTGTCTTGCTTCCGAAGCAAATCTACTAGCTCCTGATGGATTCTCCGGTAGCTTAAATCCTAGCGTCGCGTTGCTGCTAAATACCCTCCTTAGCTTCCCCTCTGATCCAACTATCTGAGGGTTGCTATCTAAAGCTAGTTCCGGCCAGTCCATGTTCGGATTCCACTCTGGTTCAAGGCTCCGTAAAGCGGTTGCAGCATCGATGAACTCGTTTGTAGCTAAGTCTAGCGAGTGGTCCGCAACTAGATTCTCGACCATGACATCAGAGATAATGGAGTTTGCTTCTTGTGCCAAGATAGGAGACGAGGGCGCGCTGTGAGATCTATGAAGAAGGTTGTTGTTGCAGCTTGGCGATTGATCATCGACTGATTCTTTATTGGATTTGTTAAGTGTTCTACGGATTATCGATTCCCATCTTGGAATAGGACCTCTATCTTCTGCTCCGAAAACGTTTCCAGCGTTTAATGGAACCACTTCTTGAAACCTAAAACAAATTTTACATCAATAAAGACATATATAGATTCATCAAAACAGAGGAAAAATACTCTGTTTTTGAGAGAATGGATAAATTAAGAGTGAATTTTTTTTTGAAAATAGTAAAATTTGAAGTGACTTTTTAAATTACCCGATGATGTAAATATCTGAAGGATTATCAGTAGAGAGCCAATCTTCAATCTCGAGATCATCGGAGGGACGTTTTCCGGCGACGTTCCATGTAGCCACCGTCACTCTATAAATCAATATCACCATAAATAAAGTCAGAGATATATATTTCACCGGGAAAAAAAGATATGAAATTCCAGAAATACCCTTACTTGATATCCTTTGTGTTAATGTATTGAGCTCTCAAAGTCTCCGATTTACCTCGCCGGTGTTTCCTCTGGTAACCACCCCTCACACTCACACCACCATCTAAAGGATTTCAAAAAATAATAAAAATAAAACCAGAAAAACTAAATATTAGAATTCGTCTGTTATTTTTATTTCTGAATATTTCTGATACAATTATTCAATATAAATTTTTCCAAAAAAAGAAATAAGAATCTTTGCCTGAAATAATATTGCCGTGATCAGCTTCGCTTCCTCGACGACGGCTGTCTTCATCAGTTACACAGTGAACATTAGGGACGTCTTTGACCGAACATACTGTAAAAGGGACCCAACAAAATCAAGATTAAAAAACATGAAATTATAAACCAAATTTGACCTAAATTTTAAGATTAATAGTACTACTACTTACCATCGTCTTCGCTCTCAGGCTCTGTATCAATTTCGTCTTCGCTAAAGTCGTAAACTTTA